TTAGAATGTTAAAGGTGAACCCTTTTTATTTGCTAAACCTTTGAAAACGTAAAAGATAGTTTATTCAATAGTATCTGTACACACACGTACTTCTCTTGTGTTTTTGAATATTAATGTTTAACATAATTTAGAAGAAAGTTTATTAGTATGATGGGCTCCTGCTATTTATTTCTCTCATGGAGACAATTTTCTGAGGTGCTGCATTGTAATTATCACCACAGTAACCATTCCTTATGTCACAAAGGATTATTACTTCTGGCAGGAAATAAGTAGTTTGACCAAATGGATAAATAGGGAACCAAGATCCTGTTACCGTACAAGTAATTAGAGGGTGGGAGGGAAACTAATATCAAGTATGTATGTAGGCATATTTTTAAATTTTTTAAAATTGATAATTTATGAGAAGAAATATAAAAAAATTTATGTATAAGCCACAAAAGTGGAAACCAGCATGAAAGTTACAGATTTTTAAATTGTAAAAGTAAATTAGTATTTTGAAAAAGTTAATTTTAGGTAAGATTTACTATTGCACATTATGGACTACTTTTACAGCCAGCACCATGCTGTCTCCCCAGGTGTCCTCCTTAGTCTTTTCAAAGATTGAAGCCTTCTAACTTCTCTTTTGGGAAAGCTCATGATGATAGAAATTATAAAAACATTATATTTGCTGATACTATTATAAGGCTTTCCTGTATGCATGACTATTAAAAAGTTCCAGAATCTGATCCAGTCATACTACTACATAGGTTTTATAGCCAGTTTCTACTAGCTACTTGGCTCTCTTTCCATTTTTTTCTTTCAAATTTTAATATCAATGCATGTATCCATTTATCTCTGTCTTGCCCTCCACCCTTAACTTAAACTGTTCTGGGTTTCGTTTTTCATACACATGTTGCATACTCTTGGTACTTAATTAGCAACCTTATTGAATGTACAGCAAAGTGACTGTCAGCAAAGACGTCCTCCTGTATATTCTGGAGGAAGAATATACTCCTCACCCATCAGATTTCCTAAACTTTAAAAATCAAATGATACCCAAGTGGTAGTTAAGGGATGAACAGCAGAAGTTCTCACAATTACTGGAGGAGTGTATGCTGGCTTTGGAAACCTGTTTGTCATTATCTAGAAAGTAAAAGATGTGCAGATTGTATGAAACAATAATACTGTTTGTGCATTATAAATAATAGCTCAAAACTATGACTAATCCAAATAATAATTAGCACAAGAACAGACAAATAATTGTGATGTATTCATACAGTGAATATTGTACACCAAGGAAGCATATGACAGAGTACATGAGTTTTACAAACATAATTTGGGTGTAAGAAGGTAAGCACAAAAGAGTAAATACAACATGATTTCATTGAAAAAAAGTTCAAAATAACAAAACTGAACCTTATTCTGGTGGTAAAAATATAAAGAAAAGTGCATGTGTACACACACACATTCATGCTCACATTCATCCACAAATGAATGCCAATTTACCAAAATCTAGCCAGAGGTTCCATTCATTCAATAAATATTGAATGCCTACTATGTATTAGACATTTGTCTATAAGGAGGGACAGCCTATTTGGGGAAACTACCAGTAATCATGAAACTAGGGTACATTATAATATGTCACCATAGTTGTGTTCAGCGGTGTTTTTAGATCCTTTCCTTGGCTTTAGTATATCCACCTGATGCTGAAATACCAACTTGGTAACATTTCTTAAAATTATATTTTATTGATTATGCTGGTACAGTTGTCCTGATTTTTCCCCCTTTGCTCCCCTCCACCCAGCACCTCCTATTCCCTCAGGCAACCCCCATCACCACCATTATCCATGTCCATGGGTCATGCATATAAGTTCTGTGGCTACTCCATTTCCACTACTGTACTTTACATCCCCATGGGTAAAATTTGTGAGACATGGACAACGGAGAGGGAATTGACTGTGGGCAAGAGGGGTGGTCTGGGTGGGAGGGGGAAAAAGGACAACAAAAGAAATTGGGACAACTGTAACAGAATAAACAATAAAAAAAACATTTTTGAGACACAGTAACCATGGCAAACATTTTATTACTTCTTGTTTTTGGCTACTGAAAAATAATGGAAGTATAGTATCTCTTTAGATTTAAAGCCCTACTTTTACCTAGTGTGAAGAAAGAGCATATTTGTGCTGGAAATTAGTTTATGTGACAGGTCATTATTAAAGAATATAGCAGGGCATAAAGAATTCGTGGGCTGCACTTTATCCAGTGGTTGGATACCTCATAATTATGGAAAATTAAGATATAGATTATATTTCTAGAGATGTCTATTTAGGATGCTTCACAATTAAAAGTTACTTATGAGAAGAGTTCAAAATGAGCCTACACTCAGGAATATGAAGTTTTGGGGTAAGGGACCTTTTGGAAATTATTTTTAAGTGAACAATAATACTACCCATTTTAATAAGATAAATCTATAGAGCTACCTTGACTGGAAAAGCAATTTATATGGGCTTGTACAATGACAGATATCCTAATATATGTTTTAAATAATTTGTAAGATGCTTTTAAAGACATACTCTTTTGCTGATTTTGGTAGAGTAAAAGAACATGGCTTTGATTTTTTTCTTTTTGCATCAGATTCTTTAAAATATTTTAATAAAATTCTCCTTAACCTTAGTTCCCTGGCTTATTGGTCAAAAGAAGGGGGCGGGTGGAGGAAGGGTAGGTATAAACTATCCTATAGCGGTAGTTAGTATTTTTTTGACTCAAATATCTATTATTATTTTTATTATTATGTGTGTTTTGCTTTGCTTTTCTTCTCTAATTTCATAATAATGTAATTTCTAATACAGAGCTTGAGTTTATTCTCTGCAACCAACTCTCAATAACACATGAGTGAAGAGCTGTGTTGTAGACAATCCCAACAGGGCAGAGGGGAAGGAAGGGAAGGGAAGAAGGAAGCAAAGAAAGTAAGAAAAACACTGTGGTTCTGAAACACAAATAGGTAATTTGCCTTCTAATTTGTAGTTATATTCTTATTTATTACATTATCAAATTAGATGAACAAATTTGTTAAATAAGCTTGTAGTTAATTTATTCAGGTCATTTTTCAAATACTGAGTATTGAGAGGAAGCCAGCATAGTTTTTAACATTTACAACAAATAGACTCCACATAGTTTCTAAGCCTTAAATCTTCTAAGAAGTACATGAAGTTAAGGCTTAGTTAGCCTCTAAGATTCGGATTTCTAAATCCGAAACATACACAATTTATATTTTGAAAGCCCATATTTACTCAGCAATTAGAATCAAGAACTATTTGAGTTTTGCAATTTAGGGGTGGGATATACTGTATATTCATATTATTGAAAGTCTGAACATTTAGATTTGCAATCCTAATGCTCAGTTTTTTCTGATGTCATCCAATTACAAATTGCCTGACAATTTAGATAATTTATGTTATTAGAAAACAAAACTTTGGAAATTAAATTTCTAAATGAAATATAACCAGCTTTCTTGGCTGCACATCTGACTAGTTACCCTGGCAATTAAGAATTTTCTGTGCTCTTTTTAACTGATTAACATACAGTAAAGCTAAGTGGACATGAACAAAGTAGACAAAACTCTTTTCATCTTAGTATGGGTTTTCTTAAAATGTATCAAAATTATGAAGCAAGTATTTATGAGACACTGATTTTGAAGTTGGTGTATATGTGTGTGTATACTACAAGAAATGATATATATTGTTTCACTAATATGATTTGGCAATGATTATATAAAGATACGATCTTAGTTTCAATTCTTTCATTAGAAAAATAAAAATCTTTTATTTTCTAACTTTATACCTATAATTGCTTTGTGAGCCATTTATTTTACTGATCCTTTATTTATGCTTCTATAGTTGCACTGTCCAGTTTGAGACGCCACTAGTTAGTTTGGCTCTTTGAGCAATTAAAATGTATCTAGTCTGAATTGACATGTAAGTGTAAAATACATTCATATTTCAAAGATTTATTACAAAGAGGAGAATGTAAAATATTCCATTAATAATTTGTATGTTGATTGCATGTTGGGATAATCATATTTTAGATATATTGGAATGAATAAAAATATATTACTAAAACTTCTCACTTGTTTCTTTTTATGTTTTTATTGTGGCTACTGGTAAATTTAAGTTATTTGGCTCACATTCTTGGCTCTTGTATTTTTATTGGATAATACTTTCCTAGAGTCTATTGTATTTTATATAAGGAAGACAGATTTAGAAAGACTTTTTTTTTTTTATCTCTTTCCATTCCTATGTTCAAGAGTTAGAAAGTATTCTAAAGCTATTTTTATGTTCCAGCAGTTAAATGACATCTGTTCTCTATAACAGCATGTATGTTTGACCATTATTTAGCCTCTGGTTGTAATGTTGAAATATATTGGTGTGTTCTAGATTGTAAAGAATAAGGAAAAGTGAAACACAAACTACCAAAAACTGAACAAGGAAAAAGTTTAGGGACTGTAGAAAATGCCATTAAAAAGAGCCTAATCCTAATATTTAGGCATTATATGTTGTGATCTGGAATTATACTGTGTCACAGTTTTCTTTGATAATATCTAACTGTGAAACCAATGAGAGAATATTTAGTGGTTTCCAAGGTGAGAAAAAAATTCCAAAAATATTAATTCCTATTTTTAAGTTTTATACAGAATCATCATTTGTGAAAGAGGAAGGGAAAAAATTTCATGTTACAGTCATAAATTCCTAAGACACAGAGAAATTCTTTGAGCTCCTATATGATACGAATGCAAATAATCTTTCCTTCTTTTAGAAAGAGATTGTCTCTTTTCCCCATCCCACCCCCATTTCCATGTTTATTTGTTTTGCCTTGTATTTCCAAAAAAGACATATTTAATGCCCTTCTTAAGTGTATTTCTATTTACTTTCTAAATAAAGAATAACACTGTTATGTTTTATATTTGAAATTGTAAGGTACATTTCTTTTTTCTTTTATTTTTAATTTAACTCTTTGTTTTACAGATGAGGGCAGAAGTGCAGTTGACCAAGCAGGTGGTGCACAGATTGTAATTGACCATTTAAGGTCACTGTGCAGTATAACAGAACCCGCCAATGAGAAGCTCTTGACTGTCTTTTGTGGCATGCTGATGAACTATAGCAATGAGAATGGTAAACAAAATTGAAAACTTGCTTTATCTCTGGGGGAAAAATTCAAAATCATCATTACTGTAGTATAAGTCAAAATTATTTGGAAAAATTATGAACAAGGAATTAATAAGTGACATATAAAATCAATAATTAGTCAACATGAAATTATAATATTTTAAAAACAAAACGGTCTAATTTATTAAATGGGACTAGTCTTTGAAGGGTTGCCCATGTTAATACTCTAAACAAACAAAATAAAACATAATGGTATGGTTTAAGATTTCTTGCTATGAGCATTTTAAAAATAAACTATTAAAATAACATCATGTTTATTACTTTATATTAATGCCAGGGGTAGCTTTAAAACATAAATACTGTCTGTAAGTAAAATTATTTTATCTAGACACATTTAGTTGTAAAATAAAAAAATCTTTTAATAAAATCTGACAAAGTTCAGACCAGTTGCAGATATCATATTGGAGAAATTTAATAAATATTTATAAAATAGAAGTTTCTTTTCTCTGTAAAACATCGTTGGAACCTAGCAACAAATAACATGTCAATAATTTTCAGATAGCCTATATGGCTGTTAATCAAATGAACATGAAAACTGACATAAAGACTTGAAAAATGGTCTTCAAAAACACCACTAATTCTAATCCAAAAGAGACTGTGGTTGAGTCCATGTTGCAGGAATTCACAATGTGTAGAGAAGTGCACTGAGAAGATAATGATTAGAAACATGAAAGTCTACAGTCCAGATGAATAATATATCTCTTCTGGAGGAGTAGGTATTTCTTCCTGGTGTGCAGGTATTCCCAAGAAATAACATAGATACTTTGGAAAGCTGTATTAACTTTTCTTGGAATATTATTGAAGCAGTGGTATTTTTGTTTCATTATTTTAAAATCTGCAACTTGAATGCAGCTTTCAAAATTTCCTAGATAAAATAGAAGTAAAGTTATCTTTCAGTATTTTTCAGGAACAAATGCCAGACTTAGAACTATCTTCTTTCCTCTGCTTTCTTTTATATTTTTCTGTCATGGGCATCATAGTTTATGAAGTGATTCATTTTTCTCCATAACACTATTTAGCTTATATTTTATCCTTTTGTTTTGCGTAATTATTAAGCATCTTTCTTTTCTGTATCAATTCTTTACTTACTCTTTTCTTTAAAATATGTGTTTAAAGAATTGCCAACTTAAATACTAGGTCTTCTTGGCTAACTTTAGATCATTTGGTATTTGGTATTGCTCTTGTCTACCTAGGTGAGTCACTGAAACAAAAATCAATAGAACTTTTGAAATGCAGCAGTCATGTTTTATTAGCATGGATAAAATAAACGAAGTTTCGTTTAGGTACATTTACTATTGAATTTCAGTATATGAACTTCTGCTATTACTTTCTGAGTAGAGTAGTTGGATGATAAATACCACTTTGTTACTCTAGCAGAGAAACTTAACTCTATCCACAGATCCAATAATTTAAGCCTTATTTATTGGGAGTTATTCTTTAGCTGCATGGATAAAATATGTTAAATGCAAAGATAAGTACTAGAAGTGGTCACAAAGACCCACCAACATAGTTTCTGATGAGAACATTTTCAAATTGTTTATTAGTCTTTAAAAGTGGATTGACACCAGACTGAGACTTGGGATATATTGATACCTAGCTATACAATGGACAGCCTGATCATACCCAATTTTTTTAAAGGCATTAATAGGGAATAAAACAAGTTTCCAATACACACGCAAGACATATATTATGAAAATGCTTACTCAGTAAAGGCACTTTGTGCCCTTTGATAAAGTTGTGTAAAAGTCAAGTTGCATGAGTTTTAAAACTTTTGAACCAGCTTAAGACTATACACTTGTAAGCTATAACCTGAATGTATTCTTCTGTTTCCTTGTTTGGTGAAGCAATTAAAACTTTTTATACTTAGGTAAATGTGGAGTATCTGAAAAGAAAAAGTTGTAATTGCTTAGCCAGAAAACCCATATCAATAATATTATATAAATAATATCATGTTTAAGGAGAATAAGAGAAAACTTTGTTTAGTAAGAATAATTTCAAATTTATCCTTTTGGAGGAAATCATACCTGTTCTTCACATGATAAAAAAAAGCACTCTTCAATTCTATGGCCCTTCAAAATAGTCTGAGTTTTTGACAGCTGTGGTTAGACAAAAGCATATTGACAATTTGACATCCAAGATGAGGAAATGTAGTGAACTTCCTTTATTTTCTTCATCTAGTTACAACTTTAAAGTTTTAGTTATTTTAGAAAGAAGAAACTAAAACCTATCATTGTAGGTATGTTTATCTTATTAATTTCTTTAATAACTCTGTTTCCTGGCTTTGGTTACCCAGTGCCAAAACATTGCAGTGAAGACTGAAAATTTTGTTCGTATATCCAGCTGTTTACAAATATATTGCCATTTTAGTGTATAGTAGGAGTTTGGAAAATACTTATTGGTTGACTCCTCTGGATACTTAGTATTGTCTAAAAATTTTTTTATTAACAAAATAAAACTTGGAAGAAAAATGTTATTGAAATACTTTTTCTCATTAAGTAAATTAGAAGCATTATAAACTCTTGTCCACTGTATTAGCCGATATTCCCTATTCATATACATGGCAGTAGCAGAAAGTGGCATTGAAAACATGCTGGTAGTTAACAGTACTGAAATCTGTGGTTAAATATTTACCATAGATAATTCACAAACTTGACAAACCTGTATATTTATTTTTGAAAGTTACTTGCCATTTGAATAGAAGCAAACCAGTAGTCTAAAGCAGCGATTTTCAACCTTTTTTATCTCATAGCACACATAAACTAATTACTAAAATTATGCAGCACACCAAAAGATATATGAAAAATATATAATAATTTTCATTTGTTCACACTGGACAACTGTTGTGTTGGCTATTGTCATTTCTTTTTTATTTGCCAGTCTAAGGGAAAAGAGGTCAGTGCCCCTGACTAAATAGTCAGGTATTACATGTTTTAAAAATTCTTGTGGCACACCAGTGTGCCTGGCACACTGGTTGACAATTGCTGATCTAAAGCAGAGCACCAGAATAACTTAACATCTTGTTAAGGAATCTGTCGGTGGTCACCATTTTTATTGTAATAACAAGTAACAATTATTAATCAATAAATATCTTCTAAAAAACTCTGTAACTGAGAATTGAATCTTTCTCTTAATACATCTACATTAGATTGAGACACAAAATACGGGGAGAAATCTGTTATAACTCTAAAGCAAAATAATAATGATAATAAGCATTAAAGCAATGATTATATTTACTTATTTTACATAAACTATGCCATAAGAGAGACGACTAGGGAAAATAAACATTCCATAAAGAAAAGAAAAATTAGTTTCCTTCTAAAATGAGTAACATAATATATACAGTGACTGGTTTCTTTATGTGACCTATATCATATATGTCATATATATCATATGATTTTTACAAATAGAGCTGATTTTTCTGTAATACCTTAACTCCCTGTTACTGAATTTCTCTGTGTGTGTGTGTGTGTGTGTGTGTGTGTGTGTGTGTGTGTTTCCTGAAATGTCCAGGACACTCATGAATACTCTCACATTTATTTGCTGTGTGGACTTCATGATATCTGAACTGTGGTTGAGAGGAGGCCATCTGTGCGATTTAGGAAATGCAGCTCATGGGATTTGTTACTGGAGCTTAACAATTGAATTTAAATAATAAGTCCAATACTTAAATTCAGTTGTTGAAAATAGACCTGTAAAGTATTTTCTCTCCTCTAATTTACAGATCACTTAATGTTGTAATTAATTTCAACCAGTAGCAACAATTTCCCAGTTCTAATCATACAATTCATTTTCATAGTGAACTCAGCCCAGTAACTCGACTTACTTGTTTTTTCTTCATACTTAAAATGAGAAGAATAGAAATTATATATAGGAATAATTACATATAGAAATAATTTTCATTAAAAATTAAAGAGCACTTTGGCTCTGAGCATATTCTTACATTTTGATATAACTTTGTTACAGGTAAGAAAGAACATTTCCTAGATGTTAGATCTTAGAAAATGATATGCTTTGCCTGAGTGAGGAACTATTTCCAAAGTTTACTTATGATGAGTACAAGTTAATTAATAATTCCATGTATTTCCTAAACACTAAAAACATTTTACCTGACATTAAAGAAAAAAAACAAAAAATTGAAAATATAAAATACTATCTTTGCAATTCATTCTTTTAAAAATTATATTGATTTTCTAATATACTATTTTTATTTTATTTTTTTGTTTATATAGGCATTGGAGATATACTTTTAAATTCACATCTTTGAAGCCCAAATTGTCAAATTAAAATACAGTACTTTTATTGTGCAGCTGTATAAAGTTTTTAGGCTTTAAAAAATATCAAAATTCTTCATTTACTAACTGTTGCTTTTTTATTTTGTAAAAACTTTCTGAATTTTTATTGTTCATCCAATTAAGCTGTCTAATCAATTTACTGAAGCAGGTTACATTCATGAAATTCTGCTGTAAATGTCATTTTCAACTAGTTGTTTTACTGAAGGTCAGTGAAGTTAGTTGCTGTACCTTCTGCTATTTCTACCTATTAATTTGACACATTAGACAAGGTTAGCTTTTCAACAGAATCCTCCTAAACGATTACTGTAATAATGCTGTAAATGGACAGGCTAAGAACTTGGTTTGTAGTAGAGGTATGCACATTTTGGTTTAATTCCACATGGCAAATACTGAATTAATGCTCAGTTTGGCCATTATAGAATGAACTTCTGAATCAAAGAGTCTGAAATTTTATTATAAAAATGTGAAATGATTTGTTATAGTTCTTTTGTTAATGATTTAAAGTTTGGCATTATATTACAGAAATAATACTCAGATTATCTGCTTCTAGATTGGTCCTGATCACAATAGTGCAGCCAGCATTGTTCCTGAGTAAGGCAATGATCAGCATTGTGATACTAAATAGATAACCAGTTTTAACTGAGGAAGTAGAAT